AAACCCTGAAGCGAGCCCTATGCACCGCACCAGTATTATCCCTTCCCGAAGGGACAGAAGATTTTGTCGTATACTGTGATGCATCCAACCAGGGGCTTTGGTTGTGTCTTGATGCAACGGGGTAAGGTTATCACATATGCCTTGAGACAGCTAAAGACCCATGAGGCGAACTACACTACTCACGACCTCGAGTTAGGAGCGGTTGTCTTTGCACTAAAAATCTGGAGACACTACTTATATGGGACGAAGAGTGTGTGGTGTACACTGATCATAAAAGCCTTCAACACATAATGAACCAAAAAGAACTCAACATGAGGCAGCGTCGATGGGTCGAACTACTTAACGATTATGACTGTGAAATTAGATATCACCCGGGAAAAGCCAATGTAGTAGCAGATGCACTGAGCAGGAAGGAGTATACTGGTCGAAAGACCAAGTCGTTGACAATGACTATTCATTCGCATCTCTCCACGCAGATCAAAGAGGCTCAGCTGGAAGCCTTAAAGCCCGAGAACGTGTTGGGAGAATCTCTACGTGGAATGGATAAAAATTTGGAGGTAAAGGGTGACGGAGCCTACTACTTCATGGACCGAATCTGGACTCCACGCCATGGAGGTTTTAGAGATTTGGTTATGAGGGAAGCGCATAACACTCGCTACTCCATCCACCCAGGTTCAGATAAGATGTATCTGGATCTCAAAAAGCTATACTGGTGGCCAAACATGAAAGCAGAAATCGCCACATTTGTGAGTAAGTGCCTCACCTGTGCGAAGGTCAAGGTTGAATATCAAAAGCCTTCAGGACTCCTTCAACAACCCGAGATACCAGAATGGAAGTGGGAGCGGATCACGATGGACTTTATAACCAAACTTCCCAAGACGACGGGTGGATTAGATACTATTTGGGTCATTGTCGATAGGTTGACTAAGTCCGCACATTTCCTACCCATCAAGGAAACGGACAAGATGGAGAAACTCACTAGAACATACATTAAAGAAATAGTACGAATACATGGCGTCCCTATCTCTATTATCTCAGATAGAGATAGTAGATTCACCTCTAGGTTCTGGCAATCGTTGCAAGAAGCACTAGGGACGAGGCTGGACATGAGTACAGCCTACCATCCGCAGACCGACGGACAGAGTGAGAGGACGATTCAAACCTTAGAGGATATGCTGCGAGCTTGCGTAATTGACTTCGGTAAGTCATGGGACACACACTTACCTCTTGTGGAATTTTCTTATAATAATAGTTATCATACGAGCATCAAGGCAGCCCCGTTCGAAGCCCTCTATGGCCGCAAGTGTAGATCCCTTCTGTGCTGGGCTGAGGTGGGTGACACTCAACTAGCTAAAGGAAGAGTTCCTGACAGCTCTCTCACTGGTCCGGAGATCATTCAAGAAACGACCGAGAAGATTGTACAGATACGCGAACGACTTAAAGCCGCTAGGGATCGATAGAAAAGCTACGCCGATAAACGAAGAAAACCCTTGGAATTCCAGGTGGGAGATCGAGTCCTGTTGAAGGTCTCACCCTGGAAGGGCACGATACGCTTTGGAAAGCGTGGAAAGTTGAAACCAAGGTATATAGGACCTTTTGAGATTCTCGCTAGAATCAGCCCCGTAGCTTATAAACTCAACCTACCTCACGAACTAAGCAACATACACCCTACCTTTCACGTCTCTAACTTGAAGAAATGCCTGTCAGACGAGACACTCGTAATTCTCCTTGACGAGATTGAGGTCAATGAGAGCCTCAACTTCGTGGAAGAACCTGTTGAGATTATGGATCGAGAAGTAAAACAAACGAAGCAAAGCCGTATCCCAATTGTGAAAGTTCGGTGGAACGCCAAACGAGGACCGGAATTCACTTGGGAATGCGAAGACCAAATGAAACTCAAATACCCCCATCTCTTCATGTAGTTGTACTGTAACTCTTATATGTATGAATTCTAAAATTTTGGGACGAAATTCCCCTAACGGGGGGGATGATGTGACAACCCCAAATCTATTCCCGTTACAAATCCCATTTTCACTAACGGAATACGTTAACGTACGTTATTTTATGTAATATTTGGAATCGTTAATATCCGAATATATAATTATATGCATGTCCTAATATCATTATAAGTAATATAACTCATGCGTGTTAATCTAGTTTAACCTAATAGAGTTGTATTACCCATTTCAACCACTTCACCCGGGTAAAAAGTTTTAACCCCGTTAAACTTTAGCATCGGGTAGCCGTGTATCGGGTACAATACCCGAGACATATAAAAACACTTGAACACTTCAATTGGACTCTTTTACCACAATTACACCTCTCTCTCACTACTTTCTCTCTCTAGACCCGAAATCGACTCCAAATCCGCGAATTTCCGACTTCCAAACGTAAGGATTCATCCCCTAACTTAATCTAATCATACTTTACTGCTTTTAGAGTCCAAAATCATGAGAATCAAGGACCATAAAGGAGTTTACGGCCTAAGAAGCTCCTTAGGCCGTAAACCCCCAAAATCATGCCAAAGACTTTGTTTTTCCTTCCTTTAAGCTTATGGACTAGTTAAGGCATAAACCTAGGGACTTTGGACACTAAAACACAAAGAATTAGAGCCTAAAAAGGAGTTTACGGCCCAAGCTTGTGCTTAGGCCGTAAACACCTCAAACACCCCAAAAACACTTGTTTAATGTCCCAAAAACTCATCTAGGGTGTTTGGCAATTTAGACTTGACAATAAGGAACACACTTAAATGCATCAAACAACTCCATTTGAGGGCAAAAAGAGGAGTTTACGGCCAAGGCTAAGCTTGGGCCATAAACACCCATATTTTTGTGTCAAACAAGTCCCAAAACCCCTCAAATGCATGTAAGGATTTTAGCTAAGGCCTTTGGAAGTGTGTTGTACCATTAAACTTCACATTTGGACACAAAATGAAGAGTTTACGGCCAAGGATGTTCTTGGGCCGTAAACTCCCCATAAATATATGCCAAATTGTCCCAAACTCACTATATGGCCTTCTAGAATTTATCTAAGGTGTATGAGACTTTGTTGTACCAATAAAACATACATCTTGAAGGGTTTACAAGAGTTTACGGCCCAAGAACAAGTCTTGGCCGTAAACTCCCCAAAAATGTCACAAATTATGATGTTTAATCCCTTAAAATAGTCCAAGACACACACCACTAAATCAAGGAAGTGAAATAAGACCTTAAACATACACTTTGGAGCGCCACAAGAGTTTACGGCCAAACCTAGGGGGTTTACGGCCGTAAACTCTCAAAGGATGGCTTTTGGGCCATAAACTCCAAAAAAGAATGAGCTCATGAACCCTCCCGTAAATCATTCATGACTTTGTACCGCTCCCGGGAACCCCTTCTAGGCCTTAAAACCCCGAAAACGATGCTAGAATGTCCAAATACTATAATGAAAGGCATAAGATGATTAACTTCTTGTAAAATACATAATTCATAGGACATTAGGGTCCTAGGAGGTGCTCAAGAGGTTATTGGGTACCAAACGCTCAATCGACACTTTTACCCGATTTACCCGATTCACCCGATTTCCGCGATTTCAGGTGAGTTCATACCCCTTAATGAACCTTTCAAATGTTTTATATGTTTTAGGGGGGAGATACAAGTTGAATATACATGTTTATGAAAAGTTATACAAAACTATTTTTCAGATTTCAGAGTTAATCACATGTGATTCCCAACCTGTAGTTCAAATCACATGTGATTTATCACTATGCTTTATAAATAAGTCAATTGTTTTCAAAACTATCTTGGATTAACAAACAAGTTTTAAATGTTCCTTTCGTACAATACTTTTGTTAAATAAAACTCTTTATGAGAATGTAATCATACTAATATATTTATATAAGTAAGACTTGAAAGACTTAGGACCGATAGCTCGCCTTATTTCCTGTTTCTTGTTTGATTGTGGACTTAGGGTAGTAGTTATCCATCCGACTGTCATTGATTTCTTAATTATATATCTCATATATTAGTACAGATTATGAGTACTTCTTAATTCATTAATTACCTGAATCACTACTTGACTAGAACCTCATACACTAAACTAACTATAATGGGTATAGTTAAGGACTCTATCCCTAGTTTCCACTATTACTCTACACTACTATAACTCTCTATATTATGAAGCAATACACTAATAAGAGAATACAATACAAGTTATACGAAAGATTACTACACTATAATACAAGAGAATGCACTGATCATGAGATAACTCACTAATCCACTACGGGATACTCTATGCGCTATTCACTATGCCCGAAGTTTTCCGTCAGGAAGACGACACTATATGTATAGATCTATACGGGGCAGACGCTATTACATCCCGACTGATAACTTCAGTCCGAGCCGCTCAGGCCCAGGGATGCTTTTACACTACTACACTATGCATGACCGGGAAGGTCATGGGGGATTCGCTATTACTCACACTATTGAGAATATACTAGAAAGACACTATTCTGCACTAAAATACTAAAAGAAAGATGAAGTAATATCCCGAAGTAAATAAGTATCTAATACTAAAGGATGCTGCACCACTATTATATACTCTAAGAATAACTCACTATATTACATTACTTAATGTTCCGGAAAATATGGGATTTTCTAGGTTTCACCACTATTTATGATTTCAAACTTCAGTTTTCATAATAATGACTCTAATGCTTTTTATACAAGTACTCACACTAAAACTCTTATGAACTCACCAGCTTTATGCTGATATTCTTTTCAAAATAACTTGTATCTTCAGGTCAAAGATAGACAGGTACATCAGCAGCATTTTGGAGAAGATGGAGGATACAAGACCCGTCTCTTATTTTTGTTACTTTTGGTGTTTGTCTAACATTACAAAACACACTTGTAAATACACTTACTATATGAATGAAATGGTTGTATGTTTCTTGCTTTTACTATTATACAATTGTGATGATACTGTACACTACGTCATCCACCCCGAAACGTATTCCGCCGTTATCGGTTTTGGGGTGTGACAGACTCCAAAGGTTTACCAATAACAATTCCTTTCGAAATTGTTCGTGTAGTTGACAATGTTGTAACAACAGTTGAAGTCACTGGTTGAGCAGACACAAACATTGGCTTTGTCGAAGGAATGCTCGAAGAATATACCTTGCCCACAATTTTCGCTTCTTCTTCTGTGGACTTCCTTTTTCCTCCTTGCACCCCTGTGAAAACAGGAGGGGCAGTTGTTGCAGGAAGAAGACTGGATATGCGAAGGAGTGGAGCAAGTTTCTTGTTAAGAATAGCTTCGAACTGCACAAACTTTTAGGACAAAAATTCAGTAGTAATCAATGGAGATGAAACTTGTTTTGTAGATATCTCCTTCAACTCTTTCAATAGCTTCATCACTCCTTCAAAATTTTCAGCTTCAGATTTGGAGATTTGAGCAATTTGTGGACTCAAACCTTCATACATTTTAACAAATTTGGTGACAACATCACATATGATATCGACCTTCTGATGTAAGGACGCATAATCATGTTGAACATATATAATTTCTTTGTTCATTTGTTCATGAAGCTCTTGAATTTTCAAATTCACATCATCTCTCACCTTCTTAATGTCCTGGACAAAAAGAACATGTCTTTCTTTTGCTACACTTCTTAAATCTTTCACCTCCCCCAAAAAATTAGATCTTTGATTTTTAAGACGTAGGTCAGTTGTTTGATATGAATAATCAACTTTCTCCATAAGCATAGTCTCTGAAGCCTTCAACATCCCTGATACTTTGGCAATTATTCTGGATTCACACATCTTTAGCATTGAATCAACCTCCATACTAGAAATTGATGAACCTCCTCCAAGATCAGCTTGGGATTGAATAATGGAGTTCAACTTTTGATTCAAGATCTTGTATTGTTTCATCGTCATGAGCATGTGATCTGGGAAATCTTCTTCTTCATCTTGAAATTCCTAGTCTTTGAATGTTCCTCGAAACCCTTCATGATCAGTTTCAGTGGGTGAAGTTGCTTTGGGGGTTTCAGTTGATTGAGAAGAGAACATGGAAGTGATTGGTTGATTGAGGATGTGTTCAAAGGTTGGAGATATAGTAGTTGAAGTAGAAGGAATTGTTGATGTTGGTGGAACAGAAACGAAAGTTTCAAAAGGAGTAGAGATAAAAGAACCTTGAGCTGCATCCTTCGAAACATTTTCACCCAAGCCTGGAGTTCGTACCTCCTCAACAAGTGACTTGGCAATCGAAACTTCAGGGGTGAATATGACCGTGGTCTCTGGAATTGAGCTTGTAAGAATAGTGGTCTCTGGAGTTTCTGGTACTCGCTCATCTTCTTCAGTAGACTCACTTGATAAAACAATCTTCCTAGCCTTCTTCGTCTTCTTCTTCGTTGGTTGGGATAAATGTTTCGCCATATCTTCGGCTGCCCTTTTCTTGGATGCAGGAGAAACAGGAACCAAAACCTCACGAAACATTACACCTTGATGAGAAAGTTGAGGTTTGTGAAGCAGTTTCTTAGATGAAGATTTGCGTTTGTGCTTGGATTTCATCTTGATTCTTCGAAACATCCCTGTTTTCGAAGGAATCACCACATCTTCTTGTGACTCTTCCACAACTGGTGTAATCACTGTTGTTGCTTCGACTTTCATAGCAACAGTTTCTGATGCCTGCTTTGTGGATTTGGATGAGGTTGAACTCTTCGCTTTCTTCGTAGGAGAAGTAGGCTCATCTTTCTTTGACTTCTTAGTCTTCTTGGCTTCGCGTGGTAGTAAAATTCCTGTAGGAATAGAAGAATCAAAAGTTTTTACATATGCCTGCAAGACAGGATTCGAAGGATTCACTCTTTTAAGCATTGCATCGGGACTCCAAGCAACACATGGAAATTCATCAGTATAATCAACGACCTCCTTTGGAAAATGATAAGAATAAAAAGTAACCTTTTCGTCTTCATTAGAAACCAGAATACCTTCTTGGTTGTAGAAATGTTGTAAAATGAGACTCCAGTATCGAGCACACGAAATGCCATGGACAACATTCGTGTGTTCTACCCCTTTCTGGAACTCTTGCCATAATTGTGTTGAATAATCAGCAGGAAGATCATAGTACAGACCAGCCACCATAGCGTATATCTCCATTCTTCCTTTATCGAAGCCAACTGTTCTTCTGGTTAGACAACGCAAAAATATTCCAAAAAAAAGTTCCATATTTTTGGAAGACCAGACTTTTTAAAATCACTGATCTTTGACAATGGGGGCTGATATCCCATTTCATTAAACATGTGTATGATATGAGAGAATTGAAATTCAAGAAATGGAGGTGTATTTGGAATATCAAGAATCTGGAAAAACACTTTCTTGGAAAGCCTAACCTTCTTATCAATTATTAAAAGAAAGGTAATCGAATCAGTGGATTTATTGTAGGTAACTGTTGATCCTGCTTGAGAAAGCTAGGTTAATGGAACAGAAAAAGATTTGAACATTGCTTTTGATAATACAAAGTGTTTTAGTGCAACAATCAACATTTTGAATTCCTCCGGACACTGTGAGAATTCACCATTGACATAATAGTTGGTAGATTGAATCTTCATTATTGGTACTGAGGATGTATCTTCAGTGGAATCATCAACATGAGAAGTAGTCACCATTGTTAGGGTTTGAAGAAGATGAAGAACAGAGAATTTGGGGAATTTTGGAGTGTATGATCGCGTAAACATAGAATGTACTCTGAACCCCATTTTATATGTAACGTTGGATGATCTGAATTTGAAGCGGGATGCATTTAATGAAATCCAACGTGGCACCTTGAAAATCGGACCAGTTCTGCGGAAAGTTAGCCATGTGTTAAAAAGCGTCTGTCACATCTCCAAGAAAACTGGGTTGAATACCATACGTCACAGTTACACAGCCTGTCACAATCCCCTTTATTATATAGTAACCGTTAGAACCCTTCGAATGGAGGCAAGGCTCTTTCACTTTTGGGATGAAAAGTGAAGTCATATGCCAGATGTTCGAAATCATCAGCATGAGTTGGTATTAGTCAGAACCTCAAGGATTTCGTGTGTGAAGTCTGCCAAAGAACGGTTAGATAGGAAACAATTAAATAAAATTGGAATGTAGTGATGTCAAAAATTCAATTTGACACAAATGCAAATAAACCTCGGGCAAAGGATGCTTCGTTAATCATCAAGAGAGATGATCAACAACTTGTGTATGTTCCCGTGAAGTACAATCGACTACTTTTTGATAAGCATCAAAGGGCTTCTTTTAAAAGTAACTCGTGGGTTGGTTTAAAATTTCGTTACATGTCATCCTAAACATAAGGTGATACATTGTAACAAAAATTACTTTTTTGACCAGTGTAGTCAGTGACAAGTTTGCTTTGAAAAATATGATCATGATAAGGATATGCGAATGAAACTCACACTGAAATCATATTCATAAAAAAAAATTATGTTCTGGATCTTTTTGGGTAACAAACATCTTGGGTTGCGAATGTTTGATCAAGACCACGCATTCGAAATGAATATGATTTGGAGTTTCGAATTTTGGTACAGAAACAAAAGTTTCGTTAATATCTGGAACAATGTTCCTCGTCAATTCCTTAAGTTTCAAGATATTTGGGTTTCACTTTCATCACGGACTCATGATGTCAGATCATTAACACATAATTTTTATATGTCTAAGTCTCGATGGGTTTGATCAGAGACCTCTCAGACATACGTATTTGTGTGTGATCGTGTAAGAATGTATTGATGAAAAAGATTGGTGTAAGACACGAAAAGTACCTCTGATATGTTTCGGCCCAAACAGAAAACTCTTAACTCATTGTGAGAAGAGTAAGGTAGCTCAGAGACTAATGTGAATATAAGCCTGATTGGGAAGAACTTTTCGTATGAAAAAGTTCATTAAGGCTTTCGTACACACACATTGAGTCATGGAGGCTTTGGTCGACATGCAACAACATGCTTCTAGGGACAACTTAACTAATTCGAATAATGAAAAAGATAGTGATGCATACGAATTTTTTTACCTATCCTCAATACTGCTTGCTTTTTCCCTTCCAAATCTTCATCAAAATCTGTAACAAAATTCTCAAAAAAATGAAAATCTTTTTGGATTTTTAATTTTTATAAATTTAAAGACAAAACAAAAGAAAATCTTTTTGTGTTTTTGATTTGTTGCAAACAAACAAAATTTGACATTCTTTGAAAAGGAACAAATGTACGAATTCGAAGCATTCGAAGTGTTGACTATGAACAATAACCATTGATGCAACGCTAAAGATCAGTGACAATCATGCGAATTCGAAGCGGTCGAAGCGTTGACCATGAATAGTAACCGCTGAATGCTAAATAACTTTATTCATCGCCTCTGACTCATTCTTTTTCGCTTAGTATTCATCTTTTTCACACGTAATAGAATTTCCATCGATGATTCCAAGACCTTCTATTATTCACATTAGAGACTTTTCATCCAAAGCTTTCGTGAAAATATCAGCTAACTGATCAGTTGTTTTCATGAAATGAACTTCAATATTTCCATCCTCCACGTGATCTTTAATGAAATGATAACGAAGAGCTATGTCTTTAGTCTTCGAATGCTGCACAGGATTATGAAAAATTCTTATTGCACTTTGAGAATCACAATATAATGTAAACTTTTTCATATTAATTGCATAATCATGTAATTGACTTTGAATCCATATTATTTGTGAAGTGCATGCAGCAGCAGCCACATATTTTGCTTCAGCCGTGGAAATCGACACGCATGTTTGCTTTTTCGACTGCCAACTAACTAATTTTCCATCAAGTAATTGACATCCACAACTTGCGCTTTTTCGATCAAGATTACAACCACCCAAGTCTGCATCTGAGTATGCTTGAATGAAGAATCCTGTTTTCGAAGGATACCACAATCCTAACGAAATAGTGCCTTTCAGATAACGAAAAATATTCTTCATAGCAATAAGATGTGGTTCACGTGGATTAGACTGATACCTAGCGCAATTACACACAGAAAACATGATATCAGGTCGACTTGCTGTAAGATAAAGTAACGAGCCTATCATGCTCCTATACAACGTAATATCAACAGCAGGTTTGTCTAACGATGGTGTTAAATTTATGCCCGTTGCCATTGGTGCTATTCGTCAATCCAAACTTTTCAAGCAAATTTTTCGTATAGTTTTCCTGATTGATGAAAATCCCTTCTCTATTTTGACGAATATTCAATCCAAGGAAATTATTGATTTTTCCCATCATGCTCATTTCAAACTTGCTTTTCATCAAGTATTCAAATTCTTTAGACAAAGCAGGGTCAGTCGAGCCAAAAATGATATCATCAACATAAATTTGAACAAGCATAAGATGATTCCCTACTTTCTTTCGAAATAGTGCAGGATCAACAGATCCTTGTTTAAATTTAGATTGTTTCAAAAATGATGTAAGTGTTGCATACCATGCTCGTGGTGCTTGTTTTAGACCATAAACTGCCTTATCTAAAATATAAATATGATTAGGAAATTATTCGTTAATAAAACCTGGGGGTTGTTCCACATATACCGTTTCTTCAAGCTCTCCATTAAGAAATGCACATTTCACGTCCATTTGATAAACATCAAAATCTTTGTGAGCTGCATAAGCCAGGAATATTCGAACCGCCTCGAGTCTTGCGACAGGGGCAAAAGTTTCTTCATAACCAATTCCTTCTAGTTGTGAATAGCCTTTTACAACAAGTGTGACTTTATTTCGAATAATGATTCCATCTTTGTCGGTTTTATTTTTAAAAATCCATTTTAACCCGACAATCGAAACATTTTCGGGTTTAGGAATTAATCTCCAAACCTTGTTTCGTTCGAATTCAGCCAATTCCGATTGCATTGCAACAACCCAATCTGAGTGTTCGATTGCATTCTTAACTGTTTT